GATTCTCAGGGTTACTGTTTCTGGGACAGTAGAAGACAGAGGCTCTTGGACAGTGGAGGAAATTAGTCACCTCAGTTACAAAATTAAACTATTGGGTAATGACATGTGCAATGCCTGTGTCCTGTGGCATAGCAGTCTTTCTCTGAACAGTGACTGTGCCTGGCTGGCTTACTACCATGTCTCTGGGTGCCTGGCACTGGGTGGGTGCTCAGCAAATATTTGCTGACTGAACGAACGGTTCTGGATGTTTTCGTGTTTCTGGGTTAAAAGTCAGAAGGGTCTGCTGACAGGCGATGGCCTGGAAGAAAAGTTCAGGTCTTGGAGATCGCGGACTTGTTGAGTAGAGCAGCTGTGTGTGCTTGCACAAACTGGGAGGATGTCGCTCCAGGCACCTAGAATGTCATTAGGCGAGCACCTGCCAATAACCCACACAGAGAGCCTTGAAACACAGTGGAGTGGACATGCAGAGGGGCTGTGGAGGACAGAGGCATTCTCTTAATAAGTCCGTTCATCTCTGGGGTGTTATGCCCAGCACAATGGGCTTAAATAAAACATCCCAGACCCCATTTTCTTGGGTATTGGACTTGGCTTGGCACTCACTGGCCAGGGACAGAGAGGGCCTCATGCTTCTGGAGTACATATTACAGTTGGCACCCTAGAGATGGGCAGCAGCTGACAAACCTGCTTACCATGGTTCCTGATTCTTTGAGGGGCAGAAATAGAATCCCCTAATCATTACTATAAGTGCTTGCCTCCTGAGCACCTATGTCCATTGGTCCATTGTACCTCCTCCTCTACAGGTCTACCTGTGCCCTCTTTCCTTCAGACCTGTGCCCCCTCACCCTGCAGGTCCACCTGTGCCCCCTCACCCTGCAGGTCCACATGTGCCCCCTCACCCTGCAGGTCTACATCTTTCCTCACTGCCAGGGTCCCCAATGCTGGTCTTCAGTGGTTCAACACTAGAATCCCACCCTGGCCCCAGAAATATTTCAGTTTTTCATGTTCCAGCAGCACCATTCCAAGTCCTGATATTCCTCTCTTGTGCCCTAGTGATGTCTGCTAGACTATGAAGCTGACATTTGACTCAAGGTCGCAACACCTGGAACTCCACTGGTGAAGGGTCAGCCAAGCCAGAACTTTCTCAGATTCCAATTCATTTACAAAATAATAGAAAAAAATTTTGAGGTTCTAGTATAATCACATCATTTAACCTTCCCTTTCCTTTCTTCAAACCATCCCATGTACCTCACCCCAACTCTCTTAAAATTCATAACCTTTTTCTTTAATTGTTATGTTTATGTATTTACTAACACACATATACACACATATACATATGTTACTAAATACATAAACACAATCTGCTCAGTTCACATACTAGTATGCATATTTTCAGGGCTGATCACTTGGAATTGGACAACCAATTGGTGTTTGCTTCCCTGGAGAAGCCCATTTCTCCTGCTCTGAGCACTCCTTGGTTACCTTGGTTCTTTCTCTAGGGTTGGGGACCCATGAGTTTTCTGTGTCCACATTTGCATGCTTATGGGTGTTATCCTCATTCAGGTCATAGTTAGGCAGTCATGTTGATGAGACTTCATGGGTATAGCATCTGACATTTATAGGAGACATAATCTTGCAGCAAACTCCCTATTTCTTTGACTCCTACCCTCTTCCTGTCCGTTCTTCCATAAAGATCCCTGAGTCTTAGACAGAGGGAAATGGTTTCTTTTTTTTAACAGGAACAGGCAAAGGTGACACTGACTGCTAGCTGATCTTCCAGAGGTCCAAAGTTCAATTCCCAGCCCTACATGGTGACTCACAACCATCTAAAATGAGATCTGGTGCCCTCCTCTGGAAAGTAGGCATACATGCAGACAGAACACTGTATACATAATAAATAATTTTTTAAAATCTTAACAGGAATTCTGAGTGGGACATGGTGGGTGTGTAAATTCGTGCTTTATATTCCCTTTAAGTACCATTTTATTATTTTTGTTCTTAAGAACCTGTAGTAATTTTGTTTGTCTGAACACCTGCTAGTTGAAACATTAAAGCTGGCTACTTGGGGACACATTGATCTTGAGAGGTGTACCTATCAGTCTTGAGGCCGACTTACAAAAATTAAAGGTTGAACAATGGTAAGTATATGAATTTGAGGTGTATACAAAAGGGCTCACAAACAGAGTAGAACTGTGTAGGAAACTGCTGTCAGAGGTGTGAAGAACTGATAGAAAGTATCAGAAAAGCCACCACAGATCCAGAAGTCAGAGCTGAGTCTTGGGTTAGGATTTTGGCAAGCTCACAGGAAACAGAGATGGCTGTGAAGGATGAATCTGACCTAAATGTGGTTGCAGATGGCAGGGTTAGAGAGCTGCATGGCATAGGCACTGAAAGGTGACTTTCAGGTTACCCTGTGTGACTCTCAGGTGACACCATGTGGCTGGCTGAGACCTTTGTGGACTTGAACCTGGAGATGATGGAGTATATTCAGGACAAAGTCTACACCAAATCCAACTCACTAATGGCGTGCTAGCCAAAAACAACACGACAACACGGGGAAGAGGCAAAGGTCTGTGCTTGCGTGTGCATCGGGGCTCATGTGTTTTAGGAACAGGGCACGCTCAAGAAGGTGCAACCTGCCTTGATAGCATTTGACTTGAAACAGACAGTCATGAATGTGTCCGTCAGTACACCGTTGGTTCAGCAGCTCCAGTGGGAAAAGCCTCCTGTAGCTGGCTGCATCACTGGGGTGGTCTCCAGGACAAAGTCAGGCCAGCACACTCTTCTGCTGCTGAACACAAGGGAACCGCTCCACTCAGCAAGCCACCCTTCGTCCAGGAGCCTGAGCCCCTTCCTGTGGGGGAATTTTATTCCGTGGGCTATTTCTTTTCTCCTTCCTTCCTTCCTTCCTTCCTTCCTTCCTTCCTTCCTTCCTTCCTTCCTCCCTCCCTCCCTCCCTCCCTCCCTCCCTCCCTCACTCCCTCCCTCCCTCTCTCCCTCCCTCCCTGCCTGCCTTTCTCCCTCCCTTCCATCCTTTCTTCTTTGGGCATGGTCTTACTCTATAACCCACTAGCCTCAAAATCACTATGTAGTCCAGACTAGCCTCAAACTCATGGCAACCCCCACCCCTGCCAGCTTAGCCTTCTAAATGTTGGAGTTACAGGCATTAGTCACCATACCCGACTTCCCATGGTCTGTTTCTATCTAGGCTATTCTTGGACGCAGGCTTAGTTTCCTCCTGTACTCAGTGCCTATCTTCAAGGAGAGACTGCTGAGCAAACATCTGAGGTGAAATTTCAGCTGTCTGAGGAGAGAGTTCTGATGTATAACGGAGTCATCAGCTTCTCTCAGACTGAGGGGCTTTCTGGGCTATGGAACATTTAGAGTGTCACTCACGCTAGGAGCAGCAGAACCCTGAACATTCTCCCTCCTCCAGGGTTTTCCTTTGGAGAGAGCTCATGGGTGATTCTCTCTGACTGTAATTCACTGGGGTCTCACTGTCCATGTTGCAGGGTTTCCTGTGGGCAAATGTGATATAGGTACAGCAAACTGAGCCCACTCCCCACAGCCATTTCTCTTCCAAGTTTCTCTGAGATATTACCATCCACAAATTAGCCTTTGTGACATTTCTTTCAGGTGGTGCCATCCGTGGGCAGGAGAAGGCCAGCTGAGGGAGCCGTGAAGAGCAAGCCAGTAGGCAGCACTCATCCCCTAGGCCTCTGCTTCAGGTTCTGCCTCCAGGTTCCTCCTTAGACTCCTGTCCTGATTTCCCTCCTTCCCTCCAAAGATGGACTGTGGTCTGAAAGTGTAAGATGAAGTAAGTCCTTTTCTCCCCACGTGACTCTCAGTCATTGATGTGGGATTCCCCTCTGTATGCTGTGAATACCATTGGTTAATAAAGAAGCTACTTTGGGCCTCTTGACAAGGGCAGAACTTAGGTAGGCAGAGTCAGAGAGAAGCCATATAGCTTCGCTGGAGCCAGATGGAACTTTATCCAGTAAGCCACAGACACATGGCATCACACAGATGACTAGAAATGGGTTAAAGTGTAAGAGCTACCCGATAAGTTAGAGCTAATAGGCCAAGCAGTGTTTTAAGTAATATAGTTTCTGTGTGTTTATTTTGGGGCCGAGCCGTCAGGAACAGACAAGCTGCCTCCTCCAACAGGTCATGGTGTTTATCGCAGCAATAGAAACCATATTAGGACACTGCCTGTCCTGGTTGGTGCAGCCACAAGGCTGTGAAAGTCGCCAGGTGACCACGTGAGGCAAAGGGTCCCTGCCCCTAGTGGGAGGGACCATCTTGCCTGTTCCTTTATGTGAACTGCAAATAAACATTTGTCAGGTTAAGATGCTGCGACCTTGTGGGTAACTCACTGCTTTAGCATGTTATGGTCTCGCTCCTCGACTTTGGGCAAACTGGAGGAGGACGGCAGTGCCTCCCTCAGGGTCCAGCCTCATGGAATGTGGCAATGACCACACGAGGCACTGGGCTTATAACAAAGAGCCTGGTACACAGCTTGAACCTAGGACCTTCATTACTACTGAGGCACACTCTCAGCTGTGTTCTCTTTTGTTACCCCAGGAAGATATATAGCTGTTTCTTCTGGAAATCCTTAATTGAAGGAACAGACAAAATCTATAATGTCAGAAAGCATACACGTGCACCCCATGGTGGAACAGGCTTCTCCCTACTGCTAGCTCAGCTATTGGTCTTATACCTGGTATGGCTCACGATGCAAGGGTCCAGCCTGGAGGATACCACCATAATGTTTGGGCATTGGGCCCTCTGCCATGTGTAAGCAGCCTGCTTTGGCAGATGGGACACCTTCCACAAGAAGGTGACCAGGTCAGAACGGCCTGGAAGTTGGAGCTGGGTGAGGAGCTCTACTACACGTGAGGATGCTGGGTTCTGTAAATAAAAAGTCATTCAGGAAGCCCAGAATTTCAGAGAAGCAGTGAACACTATAGTATAAATATGCCACATATGGTGTTTGGGGCTTATTTATACGACCAACATTTTATTTAGCTGAGAGCCAGGCATCTGGGTTCCACGTTTGTTGGCGTGGGAGTTAGAGGAGCTGTGGTCCCTCATTGGTGACACCGCCCACACAAACGACAGATGTGACACTATTGTCATTGCACAAATACACACAGGCGACTGAACAACACCAGCTGATAGGGCCACGGCTTTCTGAGCAAATGACAGGACAATCAGAATCAGCTGGAAGACCTGCAGGAGAACAGCAGCTTTGAGAGAAGGCACTGGTTTTACTCTCCCCTTTCTATCTTTCCCCAAACCTAGCAGAAGGGCTGGCTCCTGTTAGAGACTTTGACACTGCAGCACGTTCTGTGAGTCTCAGTTTAGCCACCCTCCCTCCCTGTGCTCTCTCTCATTGGCTCTCATGTTTACCCAGGACGTGTGTCAAGGACTCCACGGATGTAATGAGTCTTCCTCAGCCTCTGAAACAAAACTTAAGGTAGGAAGTCCGGATCTTACAAAATCTACCACCTTCTGGGAACAAACTGTGAGCCTGGGGGGCTCAGTGGGAGTGGTCAAGTGGAAGGCAGGAGGGGTGCAGTAGAGGGGACTTGTGACTCTGAACACCAATAACTCTTATTCCCCAGGTCTGTTTTCTCCAGTGTTGATTATGCCACTGAGATATGAGAACCTAGGGAAAGAAAGAGATGGATGTCTTAGCATTGATTTCTCTATTTTCACTCTGAGTTCTTTTGCTTGAGTTGAGTTGCTTTTGTGTATGTTTGTCTCTGCCCCACTGCTGTGGGACAATGGTCTTGTACCCTGTCACTTGTATTGTTTTAATAAAATGCTGATTGGTCAGTACCCAGGCAGGAAGTAGAAGTGGGGTAATGAGAATAGGAGAATTCTGAAAAGAGGAAAGGCTCAGTCTGCAGTTGACACCCAGACGCAGAGAAACAAGGTGAAAATGCCTCACTGATAAAGGTACCAAGCCATGTGGCTAACATAGACAAGAATTATGGGTTATTGTAAGGTATAAGAATTAGTTAATAAGAAGCCTGAGCTACTAGGCCAACAAGTTTATAATTAATGTAGACCTCTGTGTGTTTCTTTGGGACTGAATAGCTGTGGGACCAAGCAGGACAGAAACCTCTGTCAACACCCCATCGGTTAACAGGACCTCAGAAGCAGTCACTAAAGTTATTAAAACAAATAAACTAAAGAATAAAACTAGGCAGAGTCTCACAGCCCTGGGAATATGGAGGCCCCAGGAAAAAAGAGGTCCCCTCTGCTGCCTCAGACATGCTGATGGAAGGGAGTTTAGTCTCAGACCTTATTACATCAGCTTTTGTTCAGTCTTTCTCTTTTGATTCTGTCTGTATGATCCCTTCAAAACCATAAATCCAAAAATCTGTCACATTCACACTTGCTCCTCTGTCTTCCCTGTCTGTAAATATTCCCACCCCTGACTCTGCTCTTTGCCTAGTCCTGTCCTGGAAGGCCAGAAGCTAAGGCCCTCCCTTCAGCCCTATTCCCAGGGTGCAGGAGAATTGTCTGTATTCTGTCAATCATGTTTTAAATAAACACTGATTGGCCAGGCAGAAAGTATAGGCAGGAAAACCAGACAGGAAGTAGAAATGATGCAATGAGAACAGGAGAATTCTGGGAAGGAGGAAATTGATTCCTCCCACTTCTGCCCAGACTCCAAAGATGCAAGATGTGAGCTGCCCTGCTGAAAAAGGTACCAAACTATGTGGCTAGCATAGATAAGAACAATGAGTTAATATAAACTACAAGAGCTAATAAGTAGCCTGAGCTAATGGGCCAATTAATTTTATAATTTATAGAGATCTCTGTGTGATTTTCTTTGGGGCTTGCTGGCTATGGGCTACCGGGTGGGACAGAAACCCCAACAAGCAGGCCCCGTTTGTGTTACACCAGGGGCCCTCTGTGGTGGCCTCTCTGCCCTCTGGTTCAGTTCAGTCTGGAAGGAATCTTGGATCATGCAAAGCAATTCTGGGGTGAGGGAGAACAGTCCTTGCCAGTCTCTCTTGGTGGGTGGCTCAGGTGGGATTGTTTGTTTTGCTTCCTGCAATGACTGCGCAGGCCAGAGTACAGCATCTGGAGGATGTATAGTCCTGGCCTGTTTCTCTTTATGTCATGAGGTCTGTGGGGTGGCTTCCTCACAGTTCTCACTACAGAAGAGGGCTTCTGTGTGTATATCACAGTGTCTGATGTTACCCAACTGGTGAGTGGCCACGCTGGTGGGACAGGAACCCTACCTTCTTACCTCTTCCTCTCTCCTATCTTCTATCTCTCTACCCTGAGGTTTTAAGCTAGAGTCCTAAGTAATCAGCCCTGAGATCAGAACTTCCTGGAGTTGAGGAAGCTTCAGTATTTTCTGTCCTTAGCTGTATCTCACCGTTCTCTAAAGAGCTCTTAAAACTTGGAAAGTTTCAGGGGCTACAAGGATGGCTGGTGGTTCTTGCAGAGGGCTCAGCTTCATTCTCAGCACCCATGTAGGGCAGCTCATACCTGTCTGTAACTCCAGCTCTGGGGGATGTGACACCTTCTTCTAGACCCCTCAGATACCTGCGTTCATGCATGCACAATCCCCTCCCATGCATACACATAATTAAAAATAAAGATGCATCTTTAAAAAAACAAAAACATTGCTCACCTTCAAACTGTCGAATCTGGGAGTGAAGCCTAGTTGGCTTGTGTGTGTTTCAGTTCTTCCAGTAACTCTAATCGGGTAGTTTCAATGAGACCCAGCAGAAATCCAACATCTTTAGTTGCATGAAAGCTATTATTATAAACTATTTAAGATAATTAAGAAATTCAGGTCAGTAGTTAGTCATCTATAATAATCAATCAAATAAACAAATCATGTTAGGTGTGTTTTCAAGATCAAACAAATATATTTTAAATATATAGATGGTCTTCAAACACTTCAATGATCTACAGATATGGCATTTAAAATGTTTTTAAAATGTAAGACTTTTCATGACAGTGAGACACATCTGCTCCTGATAGTACCAATTTATTTAAAAAAAAAAAAGGATGATGGGCATCAAAGACCCTCCATATGGGGTTTGCTTTTCATGTGACAAAGCTAGGCCTTTTAGACAAGAAACTACCGTTGCTTTGACTGCTGACGGTATGTTGTCCAAATTGGACAGGCATGACACAAAAGAAAATGACTGCCAAACTTTTCCAAGACAAGGTAGGGAAGTCCTTCAACTCTTCCTGCTTCAGAAAAAATCTGTCAGATATTCTAGACCTGTAGGCTGAAGCTGGATGCTTCAATGTTGCAGAGGAACCTTGGGTGACTGTCCAGACAGCCAGATATCTCTACCATTTCTATAGTTTTGGAAGTTTCTTGTTCTGCACTTCCTGTTTACTCAGGTAATATTATATCCTTGGGTCTTTGATGGGGTTAAAGACTAGCTAGTTATAGTTACAGTTTTCCTAATAAGCAAATTCAGAAAAGAAACCCATAAAAGATGTGCAAATGTATAGGATTGAGAGACATAAAAGCTTAGTTGTTTATCTAAAATAAGGTTTTGAGGTCTAAAATTAGAGTTTTGGGTTGATAATACAAGTTAGGATAAAATAAATTAGGTACAAAACTTTTGACTCACCAAGATAGGCTAGATTATGGAATATTTTCACTGAATTTGCCAAATACAGAAAGACTGGACATTATAAATGTATGTAGTTTTTACCTGATAATTGTTATTACTGCATATAGTTTTACTGTGTTAGAGTTAAGCCCTACCATTGTTATTAGGACAAAAAAGGGAGAAATGTAGGATATTTGTTCACTATGTGAAGATATATCGCTGTGAGTGGTATAAAAAAAGCTGGATGGATAATAGTCATTCAGGAGAGATGGGTGGGACTTCCGGGCAGAAGAAGAAAGGCAGGGCTGCCAGCCAGGTGCAGAGGAAGCAGGATGGGCAGTGCAGAGCGAAGGTAGCAAAGCCACAGTAAAAAACATAGATTAAAAGACATGGGTTAGTTTAAGTTATAAGAACTAGTTATTAACAAGTCTAAACTAAGGCCAAACTTTCATAATTAATAATAAGCCTCTGTGTCACTATTTGTGAGCTGGTGGCCCAAAGAAAAATCGATCTGCACTGCCATACAGTCTAGTCCCAAGTTTTGCCGTGTTTGAGTAGCGGGGCGGGAGCTAGGGCAAGTCTGTGCACAGACCGTGTGGAGCACAGTCGCTGCAGAGAGTGCTGATTACGAGCCAGACAGGCCATGCGTACCCTGCTCCTTCCTCCCCAGACATGGGGCATCTACTTCCCATACTCAGCACTAACTGCTAGGCTGACAGTAGGAGCTTAAGCCTGTCTCTAGTAGACTTTTGCAGACCGTTTAGACTTAAGGCCCCGTGGGCAGTCTTCTGCAGCATGGGGGGCAGATCTTCATATGCCCCTATCCTATCTCACGCTACACCATCCTGTCCCTGCCCCAGCCACACCAAACTGCCCAAGTGGCTCTGGGCTGCACCTTCAGAAAGGTATCCAGCTCTCCTTTCTGGGGCTGGGCAAACTTGGATGCCTTTTTGTTGTTGTTGTTTGATTTGTTTTGTTTCTGTTTTGAGACCTATTTCCCTGGATAGCCCTGGCTGTCCTGGAACTCACTTTGTAGACCAGGCTGGCCTTGAATTCATAGAGATCAGCCTGCTCTTCCTCTCAAGTGCTGGGATTAAAGGTGTGAGCCATCATTCACCTTGGTGTTTAAGATAGGGGTCTTTCACTGAAGCTGGAACTCTCTGATTCAGCTGGCCTGGCTGGCAACCCCTGAGGATTCACCTCTTTCCATATTTTCACTGCTGGGATTACCAGTTTATGCTACCAGGTCTGACTTTTTTTTTTTTAAGCATGGGTTCTTTTTAATTAAATTTTATTTATTTATTTATAAAAGATTTCTGTCTCTTCCCCCTGCCGCCTCCCATTTCCCTCCTCCTCCCCAATCAAGTCCCCCTTCCTTGTCAGCCCAAAGAGCCATCAGGGTTCCCTGCCCTGTGGGAAGTCCAAGGACCACCCACCTCCATCCAGGTCTAGTAAGGTGGTCCTTTAAACTGCCTAGGCTCCCACAAAGCCAATACGTGCAGTAGGATCAAAGAACCCATTGCCATTGTTCTTGAGTTCTCAGTAGTCCTCATTGTCCGCTATGTTCAGTGAGTCCGGTTTTATCCCAGGCTTTTTCAGATCCAGGCCAGCTGGCCTTGGTTAGTTCCCAATAGAACATCCCCATTGTCTCAGTGTGTGGGTGCACCCCTTGCGGTCCTGAGTTCCTTGCTCATGCTCTCTCTCCTTCTTCTTCCTTCTTCTCCTGATTTGGACCTTGAGGTTTCAGTCCGGTGCTCCAGTGTGGGTCTCTGTCTCTGTCTCCTTTTATCGCCTGATGAAGGTTAATATTCAGGAGGATGCCTATATGTTTTTCTTTGGGTTCTCCTTATTTAGCTTCTCTAGGATCACTAATTATAGGCTCAATGTCCTTTGTTTATGGCTAGAAACCAAATATGAGTGAGTACATCCCATGTTCCTCTTTTTGGGTCTGGCTTACCTCACTCAGTATAGTGTTTTCTATTTCCATCCATTTGAATGCAAAATTCAAGAAGTCATTGTTTTTTACTGCTGAGTAGTACTCTAATATGTATATATTCCATACTTTCTTCGTCCATTCTTCCATTGAAGGGCATCTAGGTTGTTTCCAGTTTCTGGCTATTACAAACAATGCTGCTATGAACATAGTAGAGCATATACTTTTGTTGTATGATAAGGCCTTTCTTGGGTATATTCCCAAGAGTGGTATTCCTGGGTCCAGGGGTAGGTTGATCCCGAATTTTCTGAGAAACCGCCACACAAGCACGGGTTCTTGGAATCCAACATAGGCCTCTATCTTTATGTGGCAAGCACTTTTCCGACTGTGCCATCTCCTTAGCTCCTAAGGGTGATGTTTGAACTACTGGATCTTAACAGGGTCTAGGAAACCCGAAGACCAGAGAATCAGCAAGAATGAGGGAGGGTTCTCAGGCCACATGGCATGTCTGGGGCCCTTGGTAATGGTTAAGAATGTGAGCGCTTGAACAAACAATAAAGGCTCCAATCACTGTCCACCAGCTGGGACCCCGTGATTGAAAATAGCCTCATTTTTTTTGATGTGAGAAGTAAGGCCAGCCAGGTGCCACCCACAGTGCGGTGGAGATGCTGAATGGGTTAATGCAAGGCAAGGCCCTCTGGGGGCAGACAGGAAGTATTAATATGGTTGTTTTAGACTGGCATCCTGATTTCAGGCCCAGCTAGCAGTATGCATCAGCCTCAGAGTCCTGTCCTGTTACTGGTGTCCCCTACCAGAGTCTGCCTCTCATCTGCGCTTTACCAAATTACCAGGACTACCCATACACACTCCACCTGCCCTCTCTCTCTGGATAATGGGTGTGCAAGGCCACGCTAGGGTTAGTCACCTTGTAAAGTCTCAGAGCCATTGTTGGAGACCATCCTGCCTCACAGACAAGGATTCAGCCATGACTCATCGTACTCTGGTGGTGCCCAGACTTAGTCACCAGGGACCCTGTGATCTGACACCTGAGATCCGGGATCGTACCTTTTAGTCCCCTTGTAATCTTTCCCTCCCTTTCTTCCTTCCCTTGTGATAGCTCATGGAGCAGATTCTAGATGGCCCCTTCCTAGCTGCCTGCATGGTTTGAGTCCAGCAGATGGACAATGTGGACATTGACCTCCAGGGTCATGCTATACTCTCCAGGGTCATTGCCAAGGGGGCCTGATGGGCAGGCAAATGAGACGACACCCTTGTCAATAGAGCGCCATTTTGGCAATCCGGTGTGGGCGTTTCAAAAGACAGCACCCACTGCTGCCTGCAATGCAGAACATTCTGGTGAACACGGGTCTGTCACCATGGCCTCTGAGGAGGCCACCATGAAGACCAGACCTGGGAGACTCGGGAAACTGAATGATTTATTTTGATGTCAACAGGAATCTACTATTCTACCAACCTCAAGCTCCTTCCTATAAGGTTCCGGGCGCTTGGGAAAAAAAATGAACAAAATAAACAGGAACCCACGACTCCTCAGACACAACACCCTAGTGGTGGACACAAAACAAAACAAATACGACCAATCAGGAAACCGGGTCTCCTCAGTCACAGTACCCTAGTGGTAGACACAAAACAAATATGACTAACCAGGAACCCGCGTCTCCTCAGACACAGTACCCTAGCGGTGGACACAAAACAAATACGACCAATCAGGAAATGGGGGCTGAGGCTGTAGCTCAGTTGGCAGAATGCTTGCCTAGCATGCGTGAAACCCTGAACTTGATCCCAGCACCGTATAAACCAGGAGTGTTCCTACATGTCTGTAATTTCAGCACAAGGAGGTGGAGCAGGAGAACCAGAAGTTAAAGACCATTGCCAGGTACAAATCCAGCTCAAGGTCAGATTAGGTTACATGAGACCTTGAGTAAATTAGGGAGTTGGTCAGAAGTTGGTGTCGACAAAAAAAAAATGTTTTAAGAAGAGGAGTGAAAAACCCTACTAACAGCATAGGGCAGGTGAGGTTGGGAGTAGATGCGGATAGGGAGAGTGGTTGTGGTTTTAAATATGGTGGTCAGAGGAAGCCTTGGTCAGGATTCTGGATTGGAAGAGAGGCTTGAAAGTGATGGGAGACAGTTTTGTAGATGTCCGAGGCACAAGTCTCCCAAACCACTCGAGCAGCTGGGGCAAAGGTTATGCCAGAGGCAGACCTGGTATCTTGGAGGCCTAGAGGGGAGGATGTAC